GAGTAGTAGTATTTCAAAGTATTAAATCTATTTTGGTGGAGTTCAACTGGTGAAAATGGTTCTAGAAATGTCTTGAAAATTGTGAGATGAAGTGGCCCCACTGGCAGGTACTTTCCACCACCACTTTTATACATTTTAAGACATTTACTTAAGGATAAGGAGTATTGTTGCTCTCTTGTCTTTCCTCCAGGGAGGATGAAGTCATTCTCTGCAACTATCTGCCCAGCTTTGTCTTTTCTTGCAGCTGCCTGCATAGCAGCCACGAGATTGTACTGCGTAGGAGCCACCCTGGCAGCTGGGGCTTCAGCATCGTCGGGGGATATGAGGAGAGCAATGGCAACCAGGCATTCTTTATCAAGACTATCGTCCTCGGCACACCTGCGTACTACGACGGCCGCCTCAAGTAAGTGATCAGTTGTTCTTCACGTGACTGTCTGTGGCTTGTGTTAGCAGTGCCATAATGTTAAATTATCAGGTTGATGATCTGTGACCTCGAGGTGGTGATAGGTAAGAGATGTGTGATGGTTGGCCACACTTTCAGAGCACAGTACAAGATGAGATGCATAGCATTTTCACTTTAGCCTGTATTTATTTCAGTGTAGGGGATTTTCTATATACAACAGGACAGTGAGCATTACAATTCAAGATAGAGACACCTGCTTGAGGTCTTGCAATTTTGTAGTAGTCATGCATGTCCATGGGCAAATACTTATGTACGGTATGTGCATATATTTTATACAAAGAGGAAGGTAAACCCTGTTCTGCAATCGGCAAGTAGAGGCGAACCATTTTGTTAATGGCACCTCTGCTATCTGGGGGATTCACTAATCTGAAAGTTTATCCACTGTTGTCAGTGAGTCACAATATTGCACTTGCTATGTTGAACTTAGGTACTGTAGTTTATTTGAAGCTAATCCCACATGAATGGAGAAATGGATTGTCATGATTTTACTAAAATCATTTGATTTATATAAAATAAAATACTGAAAAGTGTCTGTTATAGTTTTCCCAAAGTGATGTCTTCATTCAAAACATAAAAAGATTCAGTTCACTATCACACAAGACCAGAAAAGCAGTAAATATTTGCATTTGAAATGCAGATACTGTTTCTGCTCTAAATGATCAGATGAATACAACTGATAGTAACAAATATTTAGTTTGCCAGCATCATTCCTTAATTGAGATTTTAAACTTCCTGTGCAAACTGTTGCCATATTGTTGTAGTCATTGCATATTAATTGCCATGATAAAGAGCTGTTTGAACAGCATGGCACTCTAAGCTGTTTCACTCCTCTTTATATTGTAGGTGCGGTGACATGATTGTGGCAGTCAACGGCCTTTCAACTGCAGGAATGAGCCACTCGGCTCTGGTGCCTATGCTGAAGGAGCAGCGGAGCCGGGTGGCGCTCACTGTGGTCTCCTGGCCTGGCAGCCTCGTATAACTGGGCAAGATCATAAGCAGGCTGCCTCCCACACTGACTCACCCAGAATGTTCAACCTTGCTTGAGCTGGTACATGCTAGGGTGCATCACTTCATATCGGGCTTAAACCAGGACCAAAAGCATTCAGAACTACAGTACACCCAGCAGGACTGAGCAAATGGGAACTGATCCAGATCAGACCAAGTCACTCAACTCTCTGCCCTCACACATACACTCCTGTGTCCATATGGTCCTGTTGTCTTCACTTCCACTAAAAGAATGGTACTGCAACTGCTGGCAGTCTGTGCTGTATTCACCTCGCCAGGCAGTTGTAAAATCCAGGGGCTGTATTCAGGTGGATGCATCGTTGCAGTCAAGAGAAAATGTTTTTTAAAAAGTAGCCTGTGATCCTCCTGTCATTTAGGATAATGACCTCTAATCACTTCAAGATGTTCTGCAATACCAGCGCTGTATCCAGCTGAATAAGCCTCAGGCCTTATTAGATAACCTACTGCACCCTGGGGGCTCACATAGCCTTCGGCTCCATCACCAACCAGCTGTCCCATCAGCTGGAGTTTTATACATGTGTTCTGTTTGTATAATAAATATTTCCTTCCAAGGATTGATGGCTCTACAGCATGCTTTTCTAGTTTGATGGAAAGAATGTACTGTTAGTTTATTAGCAGACATGCACTGGGTCAGAATTTATCAATCAAAAGTTTGACACGTTCCCAATGAATGAAAGTGTCCAAATTTTTGACAAGCAGTGTAGAAAGAGGCGTCGATGGAGCACTAGTATAGTGCTGCATTAATGAAGCTTTAATATTTGCACAAACAGAAATATGCTATTTGCATATACAACACAAATTTTACGCAAATTGCGTCACCATTTATAAACAAAAGATTTAGATAAGGCAAACTCAGGATTTGTTGTCCTCCAAAGTTGTTTCACACAGCTTTGTAGCAAGCTCGCTCTCCATTTGATCACCTATAGTTTTCAGTCCAAGCATGTTAGGATGCGGTTTCTGGAATGGGAATAAATAAAACCATGAGGACTACAAGATTGAGGGGACAAAAGTCACTGTTCCTATATGAAAATGCAGAAAAGGGGTACACATTACCTTCATCTTTTTCTTCTCTGGGTCATGCACCACTCTGTGTCGCCACAGGCTTTCCTGGTTAACAAATCAAACATTAGCAATTTAACACAGTCACCCTAATCTCTACCATCTCACTCCTACTGGTATCTAGTGATATTGGTTTCGGTTTCATTCTGTTTTTTTAAATATCTGCCAATTAAGAGTTTCCACTAACCCAGTACAGTGGTTACTGATATTGCATTTTTACTACTCAAAACACAAATACATCTGATCCACACATTATAGTTTCCCCACTGGTAAATAGTAATTAAATAGCTCCAGATTAAAAAGTCATAGTGAGGTCTTATCTGAAGCGACTGACCTATTGCTGCAAAGAAATACTGCTATTAGTTTTAAATGTAGATTGAATTGACCATGTTAAATTTACCATCATCGCAAAGCTCTTCCCACAGCCAGTATAGGAACAGACGAAGGGCGTCTTGCCCTCGTGGTCCTTCTGTATGTGACTCTCCAAGTGGAAACGACGAGTGAACTTTTTATCACACCCTTCTCGGGGGCATGACAGCAGTCTCTTCTCCCCAGAATGAACAAACTGCATGTGCTGGTGGAGGAACCAGTCATTGCTAAACTGCCTTGTGCACTTTGTGCATGCCAACTTCCCTGGGGACACCGAAATCAAAGCCTCTTATTTAGTGGCATGGATTTGTACAACCAAAAAAAAAAGCAGGTAGTAGCTCTTCCCTACATTACATTCATACCTTTGTGTGATTTTACATGCTTCAAATATTCAGTCCATGTCACCGCATGGAAAGGACACTCTTGAACCTGACAACTGTATCCTGCAGCAGAAAGCAGACAGGTTAAGTTACAAGCCACTCACTGAAAACAAAGAACACCATTCTGATTACTGACCTTCATGCACTTTTTCATGATGCTTCAGTTTTCCACGAGATGGAAATTCTTTATTGCAGCCACTGATAGAACAACTACAAAAACATACAGAAAAAGTTTTGATTGTAAACATCTCAGGACAGAAAGCTCCAGTTACTCTCAGACCAGATTTGTAGCCTATTACCGAAAAGGCAGAAGCTCTTGGTGCTCAAGTTTATGGGCTTTAAGTTGGTACTTCTTGTTGAAACACTTTCCACAGTCTGGATGGTCACACTGGAAGACAACGAGAGCAAAAGAAATCCAGTTAAATCGTGGCGTAACAAAACAAGACTTCTGAGGATTACTGTACTTCATATTCCTTTGCCTGGTGGTGGTGAACTCTAGCTGTGTGGTTCTTCATGCTGCTAGCTGGGGCAAAGGCCTCGGAGCAACTATGGTAGTGACACCTGGAGCCCAACGCAGGAAGAGAGTTCAGAGCACAAGGCAAACATCGAGATAACAGCCTGTAATTACTACTTATTTCCAATTGAGTCGAATGCTGCGTTCATGACATTCAAATGTCGGAAATTTCAGACCTCCTACTTAACATCTCTCAAGATTAAGGCTATATTAACAAATTACATTTTAAATTTCTGTTTAAATAACTGAATTCATGTATGTGTGTATACATAGGCTATTTCTTTATCCAGTGTTGCGAAAAGTTAAGTTTATAGCGGTCAGTTATGTTGATTGTTATGTTTGTTTGGCGTAGTGTCTGTACCTTGTGGAAAGTTCGGAGATGTTCAACTCAGACACTTCCGACCTCTGACGTGCCTCTAACGCAACAACAGAGGCTTTACCTGTTGAGATGATAGCAGAATGGTTTCTGAGGTTAGATTGGAGAAGCCTTCATACAACTAGCTTTACATTCCTCCAAAGGACGGGAATGTGCAGCGGCATTTTTCGTCCATCTTCGGTGATAAGTATGGCGTAAAGGGGCGGGGCGGGGCGCGTCTCGACCTGTAATCAGCAGCTCACCTGTGCTTAATTTACCTTATTAAACGAAATTAGGGGTCTTAGCTCATCACAGTTTCCTTTTCTCATTTATAATAAGCAAGACTTTAAAAAAAGCGTGTGTTGCTTGTTTCCGTTTTTACTTAGAACTCTACTAAGCAAGAAAAAAATAAACCAAAAACAGACTAAATCATATCATTTCTTTTCTTTTTATTGATCTGTGTAAGGTCCACGCACCTCGCAAGGGGCTGCAGAGTCCACGAAAAAAATTGAAAATGAAATTTAAGGTGAATTTTAAAGAATTGCAAAGCCCATCAGAACCCTCACAGTCAGTTTCACCAGTGATGACAGAGGGACTGTTGCGTTGCACAGCAGTTCCCATGGATCTGTTTTAGTACAGACAGTTATCCTGTGATGCAGCTTTGCCCAATATGTAAGTTTTATGAATAGTTTAAGAGGATGGAACCACACTCCTGCTTCCCTAATTGATGTGAAGTGTTCACTTCGACATCTAGTGGCCATAAGTCGTCCAACATGATTTGTTACAACAACTTCTTTTAACAGTGAAGCTCAGGTTACCTTTTGTTCTTATTCTTTGGCATTACCAATAATACCTGTGAATATTACAGAGAACAGGGGCAGCATGTGATCACTAGTGACCTGAGTAGTAAAGATATCTGTCATAGACAAATTATCATGGAAATTATTTTAAATGTCTCATAATGCATCCACTTTTTCAACCTGAGGAAGCAGTCAGTCTCCATGAACATGCCCGGTGAAGAAAAGTCAGACAAATCAGACACACATGATGCCTATAAAAGCAAAATTCTGATCTGTTTGTCCTTTATTGATTTATTTATTGATTGGTATTGTTTTCTGGATTGAATTAAGTAACTGAATAAACAGCTGACACATGGACTATAAGGATTTAGGCCCCTGAGTTGAATAGTGATCCCAGTGATACTCAGACATTATAAATGTCCATGATTCTTTGATTGTCATAGGCTAAATCAGGGCAGGGCCCTTGCAGTGTGTGTCCATATCTGTTGATCTTCTCTGTGTGTGTGTGTGTGTGTGTGTGTACGTGCAGGTGCACCAGCAGGAGAGAGGCGACTGTCTGTCTCCATTAATGACACACACATAGAATGTACTGTTCTAATCTTAATCTTATCAACCTTCCAATATTGTTTTCTGATATGTGTGATTTATTATTGGCAGAATTAGTTTTCAGTGAGCTCCTTTGTAACCTACAAACCTTTCTCAGTATTTAGTTCTGAAAGAGGAAATGTAACATTGTTGCTCTTACAAATGAGAAATTGAATCATAATGTATAAAGTGCACCATTGCTCAGGTCAATACACTGAGGTATTTTGCAAACGTTGCCTTATTTGGTCTGTATGACCAGGAGCTCATGGATAATGTTAGTTAATACTGGCAAACGTCACTGACTTTAGAATTCTTATAGCCATGGTGATCACAAAGGTTGTATAGTCACACCTTGAATATGGGCTAGCTTTATCTGAAGAGTACTGTCATAGCACAAGTAAAAAAAAGTCATAAAATCACCGAAACAAATTAAATTTGCAGTGTTTCTTAAACCATGAAATCTATTTAAGAGAGCTTGCTATTGTCAGCTAACGTTAGCAAACATAAGCTGCTGCAAATACCCATGGATAGATTACCAAATGGGCGCAAGGGCCCGAGAGGGCAGGGAGGCCTGTGCCACAGCCTCAGTATGAAGTTAATATTTCTTGACTGATAGTCATAAAGCTCAGTTAAAAGTCTACAAATAGATGCAAAACAACCACAAACAGTCTCAAAATGACCACAAAGATGCAAATCCATCCCAAAGAGACCTCAGTAATTACAAAGAAACAAAAAATGATCATAAAGACAAACTGAACTATCAAAATAAGATGTAAAACTACCAGAACAAGACAAAATAATCACAAAGAGACGCAAAACAACTTTAAAAACACAAAAAACTATGGTCCTATAAACAAGGGGTGGGGGACCTTTAACCTATCTGTGCTCATGGGCCCATTTTCTCTTAATCTGTCCATTCAAATACTGAACCAAGTAGGCCTGTAGCAGGAAAATCACTGATGGAATTGAACTGAGCAAAGATATATTAGTTTGTTTATGAATTCAATCTTTGAATTGTTAAATAGTCACTCTCCAAATAAATTTTTATGGCTTTCAAAATAAAAAAACAAGGTCAGAGACAGTGACAATCCAACAACACTATCTGCTTGTCCAAACATGAGAGTTCACTCTCTGCACCCATACCATGCTCTCATGTGAAACCTTTGACTGACTTTTGTGAATAAGGCCTATTGAGAGCCTGTTGGGCGTTACCTCCGTGCCCTCCCGCGCTCTGGGTAACAATGCCTGGGTCAGTCGACACTGTTATCAGCCTGCTCCTCCTCTTTTCACCCCTTGGGGCGGGGGCAGGATCAATACAGCTGACCTAATATCCACATATATGACCATGTCCCACCCCCTCCAACCCATTTCTGATAACCAAGCAGACTCTGTCACCCCACCTATCACACACCGAGATACAGCATGCACGCTGTTTGGCCTGAGGTGGGATTTCCTTATGCCTTTGTCAAACCCTCAGGTTTATCCAAACACACACAGATCAAGTGGACACACAGTCACACCCACACTTCAGAGTCAGACATTATTATACCTACAGAGGGCCTGGATTTCTTTAAGAAATAGGAGGGAAATTAATAAGGGGCCCAGTGTTTAAAGGGCTGGTTTGCTCAAATTACAAAAAAGCATACCTTCTCATCTAAACTTGTGTGTTTTCTAAAGATTTTGTCAATACAACATGTGGAAGTAACTAATTACATTTACTCAAGTACTGTACTTTTTTTTTTTTTTTTAATATTTGCAGTTTGCCTGTAGTATTTTAGTGGCAGTAGTAGTATTTCCATTGAACTATGTATGTTTTATTATGGGTACATTTGTTTACACTTATCAGACCTAACAGTTTAGATGCAAAACCTATGATGAACTTATAAAATATAATGAACGTTACACTGCTGCTGCCGCTAAAAAAAAACTGGCCACCACTTGATCTGCGCTGGGTGTAAAGCCCTGGGTACAGGAAACCAAAATATCTCTGTGACTAGACAACACTGGAGATAAGTGTGAGAAAATGTGGTTTTGGAATTTGGATGAAACCACCAATTAATTAAATGTGATCCAGGTGAGGTGGGAAATAATTGTGAAATTTCGTATTGTGCCGCACTTCCACACACACCAGTGCGAACGTGCCTGTGTCCAAATCCAATTATCTGCTGTTTGTGTGTGTGGGGGGTTAATGTGTAGCGGCAGGGGTCGATACAGGTGCTCTGAGCTGCTGGTTGAGCTGATGGACTCAATCTGTGTGTGTCAAACATGCGTGATTAAGGAGTTCATAGTGCTCCACAGCTTTTATCCACAGGCCTCGTTTTTCTGCCCTCCTCCCTCCCCGTTATTTTTTGTTCCTTCAATCAGTAACTTCTGAGTCAGTGCCAGACATAGCGCTCTGATGTTCCTGTGAGAACACATACAAAGGACCTACTGTACAGGTGGGATGAATATCATATATAAATACATCGTAGGGAGAAAGCATCCAACAGTATAACATTTAAAAAATAAAAATTGGTGTTGGAGAAAGCAGCAGGAA